TCATCCAGGCTGGCGAAAGCAGCAGCGCCGACGCTTCGCGCATGGAAGCCCTCTTTGGCATGCCTCCGGCAACGTCAAGACCGTGCTTTACCACGCAAGGCGGAAAGAACAAGGACTGGAAGAAGCGCATGCGACGCCAGCAAGTAGCTCCACAGCACCACAGCACCAGCGGGGGAAGAAGGCAGGTACGCCCAGGAGGCTTTTCCCTGAGGACGAGGAAGTCCTGAGGGAGCTCGTCTACGAGCACTGCACGATGACCGCAGACCAGCTTGCAGACCACATGAACCTTGAAAAGCTCCGCCGAATCATGATCAGCCTGGAGGAGCAGCTGCCCGCAGAGCAACGGTTGCGGGACGAGGAGAAGGTCTTCCTTGGGCCACTAGACCGTGACAAGTGCCTTGAGAACCCTGCGGTGAAGGAGGTGTATGACAAGACGCACATTGAAGGCACCCGCAGCGTGTATCGCGCGCTGAAGCGAAACATCTTCACCCTAAAGCGAGTGGTTCCAGCTCGAACGACAATGAACAGCGAGGCTAACAAGCAGAAGCGGCTGGCGTTTGCAAAGGAGCTGCACGACCTGCTCCTGGACGACAACGTGTACATCGTCTACATCGACGAGATGCCGTTTTACCTCGCGAGCGGCAGAAACTATGGATGGGCGCCGCGTGGTGATCGCGCCGTGCACGAGGTGCTGCCCATGAGTACCATGTCCTATCGCACACAAGTGGCTATGGCAGTCTCGCACATGCACGGGCTTCTTTACGGCAAGCTCTACCCACCAGAGATGCAAAACACCGGCGGAGATGGGCAGAAGAAGACCAAGAAGGCCCTCAAGGCCAGCTACACGCAGGACCACTTCAAAGACTTCCTCAACAACCTTCTCCACACCCTCTGGCACAAGCGCCAAAACCTTCAACTCAGTGGAACAAAAATCGTGTTTCTCATCGACAGCGCGCCCGAGCACGGAAAGCGAGCGACGGAGGCTGCCACGCAGATGCTGCAGGCCTGCGACAGCTTCCACCTATGGCATGAGTGGATTGCGACCGGTCGGTGCAGCATGACCGTCAAGTTTATTTCCCCCGTATCGCCCACGCTGAATTTGACTGAGTTCTACAACAGATCGTTGCGGCAGAGGGCGAATCACCTCCGCAAGACCCCAGACTTCATTGGCAAGCTGGAGTCCAAAGACATTCCGCGAGGGCAGGTGCAGAAGACGCGTGTGAAGGTGCTGTGCGACATCATCAAGCGGGCAATGGCTGATCTGCAGCGCACTGCTCTCAAGCGGGCAAGCGAGGCGAGAATGCTGGAGGAAGTTCTTCACGTCATTCAGCTCAACGGGTTTCTCGACAAGCACTGGCGACCAGTGCAGCTGAGAAACAACAAGGCTCATTCAACAGAGCTTGCCGACAGCATGGATGGTGATGGTGGTGATGATGATGATGGTGATGATGATGATGATGATAACGGGCACCCCACCGACGTTGATGTTGCTCAAGAGGATCACTCTGCCAATGACGACGACCAAGACGACGATGATGCCGATGATGAATGACACACACACACACACACACACACACACACACACACACACACACACACACACACACACACACACACAAACACACACGCACACGCACACGCGCGTTCACGAGTCACTGTGCGAGTTCCTTTCCCTGCGTTGTTCCCGACACCATGTTTGTGCTTACGTTCGCTTGCTGCCAAACGGCAACGGTTTTTGGATTTGTGGCGGGGAAAATATGGCGCGCTGGTTCTTGTTGTGGCAATGACGAAATCTTAAACTGAGTGGCACACCTCGACGCAATCAATGGTGGTTCTTGGTGCAACTGCACGGGGCGTTCTTATTGTTTGGCATCTCGTTGCTTCTCCAACACACAGGCCACGCTGCCGCTGTCTCTCGTGCTGCAACACCGCTCGCAAGTCCTTCGTGAGTGTTTTGTTGGAGGTTTTGCACGCACGTTGTGTGTGTGTGTTTGACGACACCTGACGCAAGTGTCAAATTTGACGTGTACACCTGTCAACTTTGACAGCTGCCACGTTTGTTCCTTTTTTTTTTTTATCCCCTGCTCTGCACACGTGCATGTGTGTTCAAGCGTGCGTGTGCCATTTCTTCCACTCTCAACAGCCAAGATGCGGGTATGCGCGCAGTGCAGTGGTGTGTTTGTGTCTTGTTTGTCGATGTGGTGATCTCCCTCTCCCTGTCTTCTCCCCTCCCCTATATCCCCTTCTCTCCTCTCCCTCTCCTCCTCCTCTCCCTCTCTCCTTCTCTCCTCCTCTCCTCCTCTCCTTCTCTCCTTCTCTCCTTCTCTCCTTCTCTCCTTCTCTCCTTCTCTCCTTCTCTCCTTCCCTCCTCCGCTAGTGCCCCTCTTACCAAAGCTGGTCTGTAAACAGTCTGACCATCTTCAAATGGCAAGGGGCAAACATCAACAGCCACATCCGGCTTTATGGTGGCTTCAGCTTTTCCATGGTCATCTATCATTTATTTGTGGCAACACCCCCATCCCTAATCTCTCAACCCCTGTTGTGTTTGATCCGATATCAACCCCTTTCGTTTCCTCTCACGTTTCTTTGTTGTTTCCTCAGCAGCTTTCTTAATGCGACAACGTCGCCATCCCCAACCTTTCTCCATCAATCGTGTCTCACACGCTGCCCACATCCACCCTTCTCAGCAGGCCACTCTTATCGCGGCCATGGACACTGTTGTTGCCGCCATGGACACTGTGATTTCCTCGTGAGAGACTCCTAGCAACCATGTCTTCCAAATCAACGACAATGGTACGTTGTTGAAGCCAGATCACACCAGACTTCATTTGCGTATCTGTGTTACTGTGTATGTCGTGTTGGTGTGATAAATGTCCCTCTCTTGCGGAAATCGCCCTCGCTCTCTCTCTCTCTCTGTCTCTCTCTTCCCCCCTCTACTACCAACTTTTCTTCCTCTCCCCTTCTCCCATATGTCTCCTCCCTCTCTATCCTTCTATCCTTCTCTCCTCTTTTCCCTCTCAAGAACAGTGCCTCTCTTACCAAAGCTGGTCTGTAAACAGTCTGACCATCTTCAAATGGCAAGGGGCAAACATCAATCCTTTTTGTTCGCATCCGGCTGTTTGGTGGCTTCGGCCCTCGGGTCTTTGGCCATTGAACTTCTTTTTTCATAAATGCGGCAACATTTTCTCTCCCAATCATCTTTTCTGACCTCTCTGAGTTGTTCTGCCTCTTTTTTATTCCTTCCTCCTTTTTCTCGTTCCTTTCTTCTCCTCGCAATTCTGTTACTGCTACTCACACGCTTCACCCGACACATGTTTGTTCACACCTTCAGGGCTGAGACTGGCACTTGCAGCAGTTCCTGCGGTCCTTGTTTTTGCTGTCACGCTCCCCTCGCTGGCACGAATGCATCATGGTTGACATTGTCATCGCGCGCATCGTGCCATGTTTCTCCTCTTGCTCTGCCAACCACATTTCCCCCCTTTGGATTAACCGGCTTTTCGTTGCATGCTTGTCATCGCGCGCATCGTGCCATGTTTCTCCTCTTGCTCTGCCAACCACATTTCCCCCTTTGGATTAACCGGCTTTTCGTTGCGTGCTTGTCATCGCGCGCATCGTGCCATGTTTCTCCTCTTGCTCTGCCAACCACATTTCCCCCTTTGGATTAACCGGCTTTTCGTTGCATGCTTGTCATCAGCGCTCAAACACAAGCCATCTCTTTCTCATGTAACCTTTTAAACCGTATTTCGAGCTCTTCGGCTCAGTTTGCAATCTTAACGATGTCTGTCGCCATCTTGTCTGACCATGCTTTGAAAGTGGTCATTTATTACAAGGCAACATAACATGTGTCAGCAGTGTTCCATATCGTCGCGATTGCACGCGTCAAAGCAAGCGTGTTTCAGTTACCTGACATGAATCAAGCAAACACACAGACACACACAAAGCAAAGGCTGTGCTATGGCGGCGGGCGCGGGTGTGGAGGAAGAATGGTCGTCGAAGAGGAAGAGGAAGAAGTTACCGACGACGACACAGGTGCGACCGTGGTCATCGACGCTGCGTGGGACGATGCCATCGACACGAGCGGCTGTGGCGACGGCCCGCTCCAGTGGGCATGGGTGGATGCCCCTACTGTCGATGCTGATGGCAAGGGCTGCGTGTTGCTTGACTCAGGCGGTCCAAGCGGTGCATGTACTGAAGTTGTCGTTACTGTGGTCGTTGTGGGTGCTGCTTCTGCCGCTGATGCGACCATCGCCGAGTGGGTTGCTGTGTGTTATTGCGTGGAGTTGGCAGCAGTGGAATGTCACCCGATGACGTGGTTGTGTCGTCCCTTGCAGCGTGGCTGCATCGCACCCCGCCGCTGTCGGTGTTGTCAATGCTGCTGCCACCACTGCTATCCTCGCCGTTTTGCAAGTTGCCGTGACCACAGCCGCCAGCACCCTCACGGCCAACAACAGATGCACCCTTCTGTTGTAGTAGTTGTTGTTGTCGTTGTTGTTGTTGTTGTTGTTGTTGTTGTTGTTGTTGTTGTTGTTGTTGTTGTTGTTGTTGTTGTTGTTGTTGTTGTTGTTGTTGTTGTTGTTGTGCTGCTTCGCTGGTTGCTACAGTGTCGCGTGTAAGCACGTTTGTGTTGCTTACAACATTGATAACAACGTCTGTTTCACACACGCGCGGGCCCTGCGTCGTATCAATCAAAGGCACATCCCTGCTGCTGTCACGCTCGTGTTGAGCGTGGTGCTGATGTTGCTGGTGCTGGTGCTGGTGCTGCTGATACTGCGGTTGGTTCGGCATGTGCGGTGGCGGTGGTGGTGGAGGTGGGTGGGGCGGCAGCACAGCACCACCACCCATTGATGCCGGCGTTGATTCGGACATCCTCGCTCGCTTCGTGGGCGGTCCCACCACGTTCACGGGCGTATCGCTGCCACTGCCACCATCCCTCCCTTCTGGAGCAGTGGGGGTGTCATCACCCGCCCGGCTCCCGTGCTTGCTCGTGCCTTTGTCCGCATCGTTTCGACTGGTGCTGCTGTTGTTGTCGTCGTGGCCGTTATCATGGTTGTTCGCAGTGGTGGAAGTGATAGTCAAAGTGGTAGGGGTAGGCGAAGCGTGGGACGCGGTGATCGCATTCCTACTTCTGCTGCTGCTGCTGTTGCTGTTGTTGCGTGTCGTAGCAGCAGCCATGCGGCCGCCATTGGCTGTAGTCAGAGACAGCGATGATGAGACGCAAGGCATTGTATGCGCCACAGCATGCGCGCTCACATGTTGTTGTCGTCGTCGTTGTTGTTGTTGCTGCTGGTGGTGGTGGTGGTGGGGCTGTTGGTGGGGTTGCGGTTGGTGGGGGTGCTGCTGCTGCTGTTGCTGCTGTTGCTGTTGCTGTTGCTGCTGTTGTTGTGGTGGCGGTGCTGCGTGTGCGTCCGATGGCCGCAGGAGATCGTCAACATCAAACGACGAGGACACCGATTCCGCTGCCGTGGACGCAATGACAAAGAGAGAAAGAGAAATGAGGTGAGGTACACACACGTGAGTGAGTGAGTGAGACAGTGAGTGAGTGAGACAGTGAGACAGTGAGTGAGTGAGACAGTGAGTGAGTGAGTGAGTGAGTGAGTGAGTGTGTGTGCACAAGTATCAGAGAGGTGGGGTTCCGTGTGTTTGGCTGACTCGGATGGGAATTGCAGTACGTTCATGTCACACAAGCATTGATGCATGCGCGGCACCATTCGAAACGAGTGGTGCCTGCGTCGTGTTGACGTACAAAAATTGCGCATTGCATCAGCAAGGGCGGCTGCTCCCCCATGTTTCAATTTCATGTATTCTGGGCAGCAGCACGCATATGAGGTGGGCATTTGCAATTGACAAGCGTGAGCGCAAAACAAATCAACCTGCACATGCACAGAGAGACGGAGATACAGAAAGAGACAGACAGAAAGACAGACAGACGGACGGACAGACACACACGGACACACACACACACACACACACACACAACACGACACACACACACACACACACACACACACACAACACACACACACACACACACACACACACACACACACACACACACAAACACACACACACATGCAACCCCCCTCCTCTTTCCTCGCTCCCCGGCCGCACCTGTCATGGCTTGCGTCGCGTCCTTGAGGGCGCCCTGGACGCGCGTGCGGAGCGTGCGAATCTGCCGGGTCCAGTACGTGCACTCGGCATCGGACATGAGGTGGTGCTCGTCGGGGAGGTCGCACGAGCGGTCCACGTCCGGGGTGACGTCTGCCACCACTTTACCGCGGTGGTCCGTGATGAACAGGTCGTTGCAGTAGGATGCAATGAGCCCTGCCTCTGCCCGCCCCTGGCTCGCACCGTCGCGCGCAGCATACAGCGCTACGGCCTGCCCGAAACGGTGCTGGGCCATTGCATTCAGCTGCAGAAGGGGGAGAGGAGAAGGATGGGCATGTGTGGGTGGGTTTGCGACGCATATGTATGTGAAGTGGGTGAAATCCATGCCTTTGCATCAATTGCGCACGCGCAGGCAGGCAGGCAGAGAGACACACGCATAAGCGCATACACACGCAGACACACACAGACAACATAAAGACGCACAGACACACACAGACACACACACACACACTCACACAGACAAACATAAAGACGCACAGACACACATAAAGACACACAGTCATACACATTATACGCACGTGCTTCTCGATGGCCTGTGTGCAACAGGAGACACCCTTATCCTTTGAGGCGAGCGGTGGATAGAAGAACGTTGGCGTGGACGTGGTGAGGCTCTGGCCGCACGCACACGTGCGTTTCGCCATCTTCACCCACGCGTGGCACTTGGGGCACGACTGCAGCAGGGCCGAAGTGGGGCGAGGGGGTGGTAGCAAGGATCATCGATGCGTGAGTAACGTGTCACACGTGTGTGTGTGTGTGTGTGTGTGAAGCGGGTGGGTCATGCTGTGAACCCAACACAACAGGACAATGACAAAGACACAGTCAGACACACACAGACAGATACACACACACACACACAGACAGACACACACACACACACAGACAGACAGACAGACAGACACGCACACACAACACAGACACACAGACAGACACGCACACACAACACAGACACACAGACACACACAGACAGACAGACAGACACACACACAACACAGACACACACAGACAGACAGACAGACAGACACGCACACACAACACAGACACACAGACAGACACGCACACACACACACAGGGCAGTAAGGGACCTTCTTCTGGTTAAATCGCGAGCAGTAACCGCAGTGGGGGCGTCCGCACGGCGGGCCCGTGCTCGACAGATCCTGGCGGCACTGGGGCGTTTTCTTCATGCCTGCATTGGGATGGGGCACCGACGATCGTGATCGTCATCGTGATTGTGGTGGTTGTGAGGGCTGCAGCAGGGGAAGGGAGAGCAGTGTGGGCACGAAAAGCAAACATGCAAGGCAATCATGCAAGGCAGTCACGAACACAGACACACACAGACACACACAGACACACACAGACACACACAGACACACACACACACACACTCATACCATTTGACTTTGTCTT